CGGGTGTGCCCAGGCTCCACCGGCCCATGCGGGCTGCCAGGCAGGTGCTGCCAGGTGAGCGCCCTGGCGGGGATCCCGAGCCCCCAGCCTGGTTCTCCCAGGGAGACGGCACCCGCGTTTCCCATCCGAGTCCTCCCCATGTTTGCGGGGCAGGTCTCGTTGTTAGGGCACCGTTTGGAACCCGAACGAAGTGCGCTGCCCCGGGAGACAGGCAATGCCAGTCCCAGACCTGTGCGCCGGTGCAGGGGCGCACGGAGGTCGAGATCGGCAGCTCTTGCGTGGTTGTTCCTCCGAAGCTCTCCTGTTGGCTTCCCCGGAGGGGTGGCAGCTCAGGCAGAAGCCCACGGTGCGGGGCTTGCTGTCCATTTCCAGGCACGTGTGGGTCGAACGCTGCTTTGTCAGTCCCCGTCATGGCTTTCTAAGCTGTGGATATTTCCTCCCTATGGTGAAAGCTACATAGGACACATCACAATGAAATGTGACCCTTATTCTTACCCATATGTATACCCCGTGGGGCAGGGGTGGGGAAAGTGAGGCCCCAGGGCCACTTGCCTGGATCTGGCCCCCAAAGCTCAGGGCTCCCTCTTCCCCCCAGCATTGGGGAGCTCATGCTGGCGCTCCAGCTCCTCCCCCCCCCACCTCCCCACAGGGCTGGAGCACACAAAAAAAATCTACTTATCTGGGCCCCCTAGGCTCTAGGGGAATGTGCAAGGGGAATGTGGGGAGTGTATTTCCCCTTCTCACCTGGAGCCGGTGGTTGAGGGTTTGTTTGGTTTTTGTTTGGTTTTGCTTCTCACTTGTGTGGGGTCCCTGACTGATTCAGCCCCAAAAAAGTTCCCAACCCCCCCTCCTGCCTGCTCAGCCCCAAAAAAGTTCCCAACCCTGCCACAGGGATTGAATTTGGGTAGATTCATGCTTGAGCTACACTTGAAACATACCAGCATAGCTATATCAGTCAGGGGTGTGAAAAAACACACCCCTTACCCAACACAGTTATGCTCAAGTGCCCAGTGCAGACACAGCTATGTTGACTGGGCACAGCAAGTGTTGCTCAGGGAGGTGGTATTCCTGTACGGGCAGAAACATTCCTTTAGCTGGTGTTCGCTTTGGTCACTTTGAGAATTAGTGCCTATGGCCCCTTCAGATGAGATCAACCTCCAAAGCCCAGCTCTCCTTGTTCAGAACTCACTTCTTCGGTGGCTGCCCCAGAGACATCAACACGCCCAATTGGAGAAACCCGCAGAGTGGGTGTAACCCACACACCTCATGTGGTTCGCTGTCCCATGCAGTGGCACCTAGACTACAGCAACAAGAGACCTCTACAGCATGGGCTGGGAGCCAGCTCAAAGGGTAAAGGCTCCTATACTAAGCTCCAGAGGTCCCAGGTCCAAATCCGCCTGGTGGCGGTTACATGGGCACTCTCCCTGGATCTCTCCACGTGGCCTGGCTCCTTAGATAGAACATCCCTTGGAGCAGGGACCAGCACAGGTTTGGAAGCTTAGTTTGGTACCAGATGTGGCTGTGAGGGCTGCGGGTAGCAGGAGTTGTGGAGCAGAGACGCCATTGTAGCCATCTGCATGGCGAACAAGTGTAGCCCACTGGTGAGTGTGAGGTGTAGAGCCCCCTCTCTGCCGAGCCACTGAAGAGAGGAGTGGAGGTATGTTACAGTCGTGCCTCGGGTGCGCCGCTCAAGCTGTAGCACTGTGGGCATTCAGGGCTTCTGGTTCAATCCCTAGTTAGTGGCTGTTGCAAAAGCACCTTTATGTTCCTCTTCCTACCCAAGAACTGAGCTTGTGAGCTAGCTGTTCCTTACTTGTGGGCCTGATCCTGTGATGTACTGCGTGCTTCCCAACTTGCTCTAAGTCTTTGGGGGTTTTGAGCATCTTTCAGGATTAATCCTCATGTGTATAAGGGCTGCTGTCATGGATGGGGCTTTGCACTGGCACTGGTAGGCATGGGTACCCATCTGCTCCAGTCAGTGACTGAGGGCCTGATCCAAAGCTCATGCAAGTCAGTGGGAGGCTTTTCATGGGCATGGAGCAGGCCCTACATTCCCTTTGACTTCAGTGGAATCAGAGACAGTCACAGAGCTGCGTGGCTTCTTTTTTCTCGCAGAAGGGGAACTGATTTAGCTTAGCTAAATAATAAGAAAGTTCATGATTCTTACCATTTATATGCCCAGAGAATTAGACCATAGAACTGTACACAAGACCATGAGAACAGCCATAGTGGGCCAGGCCAAAGGTCTATCTAGCCCAGTCCCCGGTCAATAGCTGCCTGTAAATTATACATTCCCCATCTGAAATCAGGAGCTATCATGATGTTACTAAAAAAAGCCAGAGTGGAAACTAGGAACAAGCTGGCTGGAATGGTGGAAGAACACAAGTGTAAAGGAAATGTGTAAGGGGGAAATGAATGAATTAGCTAGAACATGTGTTTTCCTGCAACAATCTCTTCCCTCCTACCTCAATTTCTTACCCATCCAGGTAAGAACCTCGTCAGGATCAAACTGTGACCTCACATGCACAGTGGCCTCGCAGTGGGTGATGTTATCTCTTCTTTTAGACTGGGCATCTCACACTACAGTGATCATGTTGCACTTTAATACTCCGTAGTAAGATTGTGTCATCTCTGACCCCAGGGATCTGGGGAAGCAAGATGTGGATCTTGCAGAATTTGCTATGGAGTCATGACTGTGGACCACTAGGTAGTCTTATGAAGCCAGATTCTGAATTCAGCGCTAAGAAGATGTATACAGCTTATAGTTAACAGCTGGGCAAATTTTAAAGGTTTCAGTTTGCAGTAATTCATATAAATCCTTTTTCCCCGTTTGCATCAGTTCACGCAGGCTTTGCTGAGTGTGGGTAATACTGGGCCTGGGAGTTGGATTAGCCCAATCATACTTTCAGTGAAAATCACCTGGCAACTGCGTGATGTGAATCTATTTTATGTGGAGATTTCATTTAGCCTGGCTGAAGTTTTATACGAAATACACGAGCCAAGCAGGAGAAATACATGAGCTAAGCAGGAGATTCTACCTGTCCATGGATAGCTCTGTGCTTGAATTAAGGGTAGAGATAGATGAACAATGGTTTTTGTTTGGCTGGTTGGTTGGTTTGTTCACTGGCAATCTTAAAACACCAGGGAAAATAATTTTGGATTGAACAAAAAATGACATTTTTCAAAACTTTTCTTCAGCAGAGAAGTAAAAAACAAAAATTAACTTGGAGTCAAATGACATGTTCTGTTTAGATTCAGAGCATTTAAAACAGTTTTGAGTGTTTTAAAAATAAAATTAAAGGTCATTTTTAAACAAAAACTCATTTCAAACCAAAATATGGAAAAGTTCATAAAATCTGAAAATGAAGTTTCAGTTTTGGAAGTATTTCCTCCCTCCTCCTCAAAAATGAAAAATTTGGAGAGATTGTCATAAATTTGTGAAATATTTCAGGGTCCCCAACTCTTCTTTTTACATGTTTGGCTGAAAACAGTTTGCCAGGTCTAGTTAAGGAGACTCTATAGTCTTCTGAATAAAATTAGATCAAGGAACAGGGCATTTTCCCTTGTTGATTTCCGTGAAAATTGCAGTTGGTTTGCTTTTTTTAAAGCTGTAAGCTGATTTCAGGGTTAAATATTTGTGGCACTAAGTGGTTCCTAGAAAGGAAGCCTTTGAAAGTAAATAAATTAGATATTAACCTATTGATACACACAGACTC